AGCCCCAGCCCAGGAGGGCACGCACGTGCTAGGGAGGCAACTCTGTTTGCAGCAGCCAGGACAGACACAGCCCTGAGATCTCAAGGAACCATCCCCAGGCAGAGGGATTCTGTGTCACTGGAGAACATCCTGGGGAGCTCAGCCTCTCTGGTGGAAAACCCAGCAATTTTAGAGAGGCCACCCAGCCTGGAGCACTGGGGGGGGGTCTCTTCACAGCCACACAAGCAAGGAGGAGAGACTGGGTGACGCTTTAAGTGTCTTTAATCCAAAGGACTGAAGAGCAGACCGGGAAGATTAGTATAAGCCAACAGACAAAAATAATTAAAAAAAAATAAAAGGAAAAAAAAAAAAAGGGATAAAAACCGGTTCTTAAAACAAATTGAAGTTCCATACAGTGTCTAAAAGATCACCTAAAAACTAAACATTGCCTTAAAAAATCATTTCCCCACCCCCCCCCATTCGAACACATTTAACGAAGTGAAACATCGTGACAAATAATAATAATAATAATTCATGGACTAAAGACTTCAGAGCAGCCGTCCTGCTCCCAGCAGGAGCCACGCTGGGGGGGGGGCAGCAGAACCCCCAGCTCTGGCCAGGGAGGGGGTCAGTGCTGCTGTCCTGGCTCAAGACACAGCCCCGTGCCACCCGCTTGTCCCCAGGGACTCCCAGGACAGCATCTCCCTGGAGCAGGGGCTGTGGGATCAGGGAGGGGCAGCAGGGACACATCTTTTCCCCAGATCCCTGCAGAGCAGGGGGATATATGGGGGGGCAGGCACTGGCCTCCTGCTCACCCCCCTGCCCACCCCTGAGGTCAGAACTGGATTCCAGGCACAGGCACAGACTGTGGTGGCCACGGCAGGGGAGCCACGAGCAGCTCCGGGCCCACGGACACGACACACACCCCACGCACAGACAGACCACACGGACGGCGGGGCAGAGGCCAGGCTTCCAGCTCAGGGACAGCTGGGGGGCTGGGTTTGGCTACTGTGCTTTAAAAGCAGCAGTTTCCTGGCCAGTGAAGCAGCACGGTGGCCACAGGGAACCCCCCATGCCAGCCCTGTCACGTAGAGCAGGACAGGGGGGAAGGCAGCTCTCCTTCCCTGTCCCCCCAACCCACTCCCAAGCCTGGAGCCCACCTCTAGCCAGCATCCACACAGGGAACACGCTGCCTGGCTTTCAGCTCTACAGTAGTTTGTTTTTTTTTTAAAAATATTTATACGTTATATACCCTAAAAAGGTCACCACAGGAGTTTTCCGTGTCTTTGGAAGGAAGGAAGGAAGGAAGGAAGGAA